TATTTGGGGAATTTGAAGATATACAGTGACTGCTTATGTTCGATCACAAGTGATCCTTTGGTTGTTTTTGATCAATAATATTATGGTGATTCTTTTTAATGTTTGGGCGAGACTATGTTAGGGTTTTGATGGATTTGCTTATGAAATACTTGGACCCTTTTATGTGGAATGGAAGTAGCAGAGGGTTCATGATCGAGGTTTTGATTCTGTTTGTCTTCCTAGTGGATAGGGAAAAGTGTTGTATATTTTCTTGGACAAAATATAGAATGGATTGGCGATTGTCTTATTGTGAGAAGCGTCAGATCTTGGCAAGAAGGGTTCTTGGGTTCAATTTGACATCTGATCTTTTGTATCTTTCCTTATAGCATGGACGTTAAGCAGGCAAGAGGCAGCAAAGACACAATGGGAAAGTTTGTTTATGCTGGGAGGTCCACACAATTGGCTACCAGAAAATCTCAAGTTTTGTCCGAAGATCGACCAGGAATTAACCCCTATAATGGCCCTAGGAACTCATTAGTTTGGACTTCGAAGCAGTCTCGTGCATCAGCTGAGGACCGACCGAGAAAAAGGCCTAATTGTGACCGTACGAATTCAGTGGTTTCAAGTAGCCGAGACAGTGAGTCAAAATGTAATAATGCTCCAAAGACGCAAAGAAGGGTCTGTAAATTCTGGATCTCTGGCAAATGCCTGAAAGGGGAAAAGTGCCGCTTTCTGCACTCATGGTTTCATGGTCAAGGATTTGCCATGTTGGCCACGCTCGAAGGACATAAAAAGGTACTTCTTTAGCCCTAACTGTTTCTTTGTAGTGTATACCTTATGCGTTGTTAACGCGTAGAAACATGCAGGTAGATCCAAAAGAACCGAATATAATTTCCTGCCATGTTGACCTTGCACTGACTCACCGGAGTTTCTGTCTTGAACAAACAGAGATTAAACATTCCTAGAAACATAATGTTCTGAAGTTTAATGTTTCGTTTATGTTTGTTTATTTATTTTTCATTAGCCTTTTCAAGTCAGCGATTGATTGCGGAAGTTGCTATGTGGTTAGGCTATCAAGGGGATTGCTCTTCCTTCTCGCACTGATATCCTTTATTCAGCCAGTAAGGATGGTACTGCACGGATGTGGGATTGCCATACTGGCCAGTGTACAAAAGTTATTAATTTTGATGCTGAGGTTGGTTCTTTAATCAATGAGGGGCCATGGGTTTTTGTTGGCATTCCGAATGCTATCAAGGTTGGTTATGTCATTATAATATTGTCTTTATTAAATTACAGCTTTAGGTGATTGCGCTATAGTTACAATCTTGTTTTGTGCCTTCTAGTGCTGAGTTCATGGTCCTTGTTGGTAATGTTGTAGGCCTGGAACACTCAGACAGGTGCAGAATTCAATCTGGAAGGACCAGTAGGTCAAGTTAATGCCATGTCTGTTGGCAACGATATGCTCTTTGCAGGATCACAGGTGAAATTTTGATTTATAATGGAATTCCTTTTTGACTTTTGTGATTAGCTGAAGCTACTCTGCCGAGTTGGAAAGTAATTCTAGGAGTTGAGTATTTAATGTCTAGTTGTTTTGGCAAATGTAAACCCGTGCATTTTGGGTTTTCAAGATTCTGAATCCATCTTAAAGTTGTTTAAAATTTTCGGTGCCGCTGGATGGAGCCATTTTGGTGGGTTTTCGAGACTCTGATTCCATCTTAAGATTGGTAATTTAAAGTTTCCTGTCATTGGTGTTGCAGGACGGAACCATTTTGGTGTGGAAAGGCAATACTGAAACCGATCCATTTAAAAGAGTTGCTTGTTTGAAAGGCCATACTGGCCCTGTGGTATGTCTACGTGTCGGAGGCCGAAGGCTGTTCTCAGATCAATGGATAGTACAATAAGGGTATGTTGCTGACATTAAGAAAATTTCCTTTTTATTTTCATGTCAAGGGTGTATATATCTTAATTCGATTATACCTGCCATGCACGCAGAAAGCATAGTCATTCCCTTGTAAACCTTTATTAGATATCAAGTAAATACGTTGTCTTTTCTGACCTTACGTGGCCTCCACTCCATAGCTGCCTTTGTTATCTGATTTGATATGTGATATTCGCACAAATTATCCATTTGACGTTCTACTA